GATATGTAATTTTTTGTAAAACCACAATCTACAAGTACTTGATATGATTGTCCTCTTAGTAATCTTATTAAAAGTACAAGTTAACTCTTTTTATAGTTGTCTGAGGGTATGTGTCAGGGACAAGAACTCGATGAAAGCTAAAGAGTAAGTGAGACTTTTCTCAAAAAGAAATAGGACAAAATAGAAATATGTATATTAAGAAAGAAACTGGAATGGCTATTGCCAAAATACAAGAAAACTAGAGACCCTTGAAACTAGACTAGAAGCAATAAAGGAGTTGACAAGAGTGAAGAGGGCTTCACTCTTGCCTCTATATATACTATCTAACTAGAAGCCACGTGGCGATGTTCTATAAGACCTCCAATATATGTTGACTTTCTAGGCCACATGCCTTTGCTTGCAAGGCAAGTTTTCTATGGATGGACCACGTAGTTAGCTTGTTCTTTAAGCTTCCAACATGCGTGGCACATGGCTAACTTGTTGACCAAGTTTCTAACCTAAAAGTCAACTATAGACTCCTATAAAGTCAAAGCAGCGTCTATGAAGCTTCTAAGAAGCTTCTCTAGAAGATATTACACAATTAACCTACTTTTACATACTTTTATCTATTCATAAAGGTAATTATATGTATGTCCGTGACATTACCCCCCCTTCTAGGGACGAGTTCCACGAGGAGCGGTGATTATATATTGAGCCTTTACTGAGGAGCCCCATTTTCCTACTTTGACTTATTATTGACTTGATGAGTTTCAAGACTATGAATTTGCCTTATCTTACTAGTACTTGTACTTTGACATTTTGAACAACCTCTAATCTGATAGTTTGGCTCTCCATAATAGAAAAAAAATCCTTTTTATACTAATATTTATCGTCTTTGTGGTGTCAATGATCTTTGTAAGGCATCAATCTTCATTAGTATTGGTTGTTGTGTCGTAATATTAAATAGTGACATAAGACTTAGTACTGTAGGTCGTGCTCCACGATTTTAAAAATCTATAGGATTGACCCTCTCTACAATCTGAATTGCCTCTTCGAATGTTTGTAGATTCCTTTGCTCTATTTCTTACTAAATTGTAGGTTTTAAACCTTGTAGGAATAGATCCATCATCTTTGCCTTCAAAAAATTACTAATTTGGAGACATAAACTTGCATTGACCTAACTTATGTAAGATTTGCCAAGTGATTGAATGCTATCTTCTCCACATTGATGGACCAAAATTGATTCTTAAACTTGGTCTCAAATTCCTCTTAATCACAAAATCTACCTCGAACTCTATAGCTTTAAACTTAATATTACCATCAAATGACTGTCGTATCCCTTGAATAGCTGGTTGTATATATAATTCTTTCAATGGTATTTGTCCCAAATAGTTAAAGGTATTGTTGCATATTGAAGAGCCATTGACATACATCTTCTTGTCTTGAAGTTTCAAAGTATATACTAGGCTTACTCAATTTTAATCTAGTACATATCGACTTTTTTGTCTTCGAGGCTTCTATTTGCCCTTTTAAAGTAGCTATTTAGTCTAAGAGATGTTGAATTTGAGCCTTCATCTTGGATTGCTCTACCATATCTCTCATACTATAATTTTTCCATTGGACTCTACTATTGTAATGTCTTTTTACCTCTCGATTGATTTTTTAAGAGTAGCTTATGATAGCCTCAATATAGTACCTAGTGTGACCACAATAACTGACCTTGGACTAGATGATGACTATTGACATGCTACCAAAAATACATAGTCTAACACTCGCTCTGATACCATTAAAACAAGACTAGACTATCTCAAAAATCCAAGATCCTTCTATTCCACAACAACATAAAATCTCAAGACAAAATAGGACAAAATAGACTAAAATAGAAATAAATAGAATTACATAGAATAGGACATAAAATTCAACTGAACAAACAAAAATAAAACTGAACTGAACTGAACAAAATGATGCAAAACCAAACTTTATTAACAAAAAGAGTCTGAAGCCATACTTGACTAGATGCATGAAAAGGCCTTGGCTAGTCCTATTTATACTTTGTCCTACCACCCTAGACTTTCTAGAATGTTCTTAGGTAGTGGGCTCTATCTAGATAACCACCCTAGGCTTTCTTTTAGAAGATTCTATGGTAGATTCTACCTAAATAACTGCCCTAAATCTTTTTTAGAATGTTCTACGATAGAACCTACTTGGTCTACTAATTTAACCCCAATTCTAGAAACTTATATGGTTCTAATTATCTATATAATTATCTTATCTATATCCTATTACAATCGAGATAGCTTGCTTGACATCTGTGGATTTTTTTAAGGAGCACCTAAAGATCTAATTATTGTAAAAATTCTTACAATAATATATTGCAATCACTTATTTTGTAAGGCCTCCTTAATCACAAAATATAGTCTAAATTTGCCTTGACTAGCTTAAAACGGATATACAATATGATATTGAATTAAGGAGGGACCTTGGGTATGGCTTATTTTATTTGTAATAAAAGATAGAATGATTGCACATAAAATCATGATGTACACTCTACATCTTTTTCAATGGAATATGTATGGGACATCTTTTTTATCCACTATTACTTGGATTTAATTCCAACTGTTTAGTAGGCATTTAAATGTCAATCTACATTATCTTGAAGAGAGTATTGGATGAATTTAATAGTAGCACAAAAGACAGAGTGTGCCATCTACGAGTTGTAGTAGATAGAAATAAGAATAATTCTATCAATGTAAAACAAAAGTTCTATATTGAAATTATGTCAAGCATTCTATACAAACTTATGATTAGAGTGACTAATCCCATTAGTAAAGTATTATCACATATTTAAGTAGATTACAACTATTTGTCAATATGTTGCGGATGTTGTTTATCTATATGTCACCTAAGAAAAGAATACCTTGCTTAAAGGAGATAAAAGCAAAGAAGTAATATTCAAGAAAACAAAAATAAAAGCTTGAGTTATGTGAGCTTGATTATGTTAAAGGATGTGGAGGATCAACTTGCCATAATAGATTGGCAAATCTCCTTGTAATCCAAATCTATTTCTTTGCCTCCTAATAAAAGTCAATTGTAGCTTAAGCGAGTTCCTACAATCAGCTCTTTAGGAAGTTTATAAAGAGAAGAATATAGTCTAGATTTTTAGATAAGCATCAAGACAAGAAAATTGATATAAGACACAATCCTATACATTTGTAACATGCCAACATCTTCACAAAAGCTTTAGATTTAGTCAAATTTATTGAAAATAAAGAATTGGCTAGATTAAAAATAATACAAGCATAGGTATACAAAAAAAGAACAAAAAATAAAACAAAATTCAACCATAGCTAGATTAAATTAGCTTCTAAATCAAAGATATTCCTTTGCTTCTTTGCAAATCTTAAACTTCTTAAATTTTACTTTTCTGTAACTTTAAACTTGCTTCTTATATTCTAACTAAGATGTATAAATTTTTACTTTGTATCCTTGATGCATGGCATAAAGGATATCCAATGTATAAAATGATGTATAAATTTCTACTTTGTATCCTTGATGCATGGTATAAAATGATGTATAAATTTCTACTTTGTATCCTTGATGCATGGTATAAAATGATGTATAAATTTCTACTTTGTATCCTTGATGCATGGTATAAAATAACATCTCATCTAATAGGAAATCTTAAGTTACTTGAGTGTATTCTTGTAATATTTTATTGGAGTTTTATTAATAAATTATAAGCATATAGGATTGGGGGTCAATGGTGAATGCTTAGTTCTTCTTTTGCTGAGCTGGATCGGCTAGAATTGTGGAAACTTCTTGTTTGTCCTGATAACTAAAACGTCGTCTCGTTTAGGAGGTGTATTTTGTGAACTTTATGTGGTTATTAAAGGTTATGGCGTACTTTGTATGATGTCTGGCGTTTTACTTTGAACTCGTGCAATTTTTTCTTATGGAGTGTCTAAGTAGTGCCGGATCTTGAGCGAATCTCTTTAATTAGATTGGTTCGATGAATAAATCTTGAGACTTTGAGCTTTTGACGACTGATTAGCACCTTCGACATTCTTACACAGGAATCAGAGTAATATGTTTTCGCAGAGGACGAATTTGGATACAGAGCGGGGTTTAGCCTATTGAACCACTTTGCTGCTGGAAGCGTTTTCTGCTCCTGATTACGCTGCCTTAGGAGCTTGCCTTGCATTTATTGAGACGTTGTCGTAAGAGATGCCACACTGGCATATAACATCGTAGGATTTGATGTTCGTTATGCACACTGTCTCTTTCCTGGTGAACCCAAGGATTTGTCCTTGGCACCCGAGACTCATGCTCAAGGCAGGGTTATGGCTCTCCTTTAGGATAATCTTCTCCTTTCTTGTTTTTGAAGTCAGTTTTCTGCATGCAAAATTGTTTTTGTTTGGCTGGCTGTTCACATCATTCGACACGGCGTCATCACCAGGGGTTTACTTGGAGGCTTGAGAATGAAAGTTTCTAGTAATGGCGACGTCTTCGATGTGCTTTTCATTCATATGCATGGTGTCATTGACTGCTCAAGTCGTGTTTACTGCTTAAGGTGTGTTGGGTTACTGTTGTATAAAAGCTTACTCCATTGGTTTAATTGTATATTGCTGTTGTCGATTTTCCCCGCTGTCCAACAAACAAACTCTTTTTTTAAGACGCTCGTGGGGCTTGAAATGCATCGATTATTCACATCCATGTGATATCTTTTATCTTTCAAAGGCTCTCTTTTACCTTTAACTGTTTATGAGATGCACTTTGAGGTGACTCATTGACCTTTCCTCTACCTCATAGGTTCCAGTGGAAAGGCCACCTTCAGATTCCCGTAGGCCTTGAAAAATATCACTTTTTTACAGGTTTATCTATGCAGTAGCCATCACGATCCTAACCAGCATGCTGTTCAGAATTGGTGGTTCAAAGGCTGGCAAGACTTCCACTTCATTGCAGGTTGGTTTTCTATCATGCTGTCATTGTGAAGACGCGAACTAGTATGTTGCATTTCTCTGTAACAAATTGCTCTTCAACCAGCATTTGATTTCTTTCCTTGGTAATAAAGCTTGTAGCAATCCAGTTTACATCAGTTCACCAGTTCGCAATGAATTTTGTTAGTTTGCGAATACAAAACTATGAAAACAGATATCAGTGGTAAAGCTTTGCTGCCCGAAATTTAATCGGTCATCAATGCAGGATATGCGCACAGTATCACCTCAAACAAAACAGTATTTAGGTCACTGTAACAATGTAGCCTCTAACCATAGATTACGCATTTGCCACATAAAATTCTGGCTTGGGTTAGGGCGGCTGCCGCGAAGACATGCTATTGCAGTAATGCTCAATCTACAAGTAACGGTCGACAATACTAAACCAGCACTAAGATGTGTTCAAAGTCTCCAAAATTTGTAAGCTATTGTCAAAATCATAGCCCGAGATCCGCTAAGGATGTATAGGAGGTGAAGGTTTAGAGGGTGGCGGATCTTTCACATCATTAGGATAATTAGCAACGTTGCCCCTGGGAGGGGGATAGCTTCTAGGAGCAGGACGGACACGGGGATCTTCAATCAGAATTCGACGGAATGATCGATGCCCAAAGCGATATTCCTGCAACACCCATTCAACATTGCTATGAATCACTCCAACTTGTCACAAATTTAATTAATTGCTCATGCAACTACAAATTACTTATAACACGTCGACTAAGTGATCGAGTGAGCTGGTTAAGCGCTTGAAAGACGAGGATCAGTAATTTTGCGGCATGTAAATATCTGAAGAGAAGGAAGCAAGTGGCCCAACTTACAGCTTGATGGTAGAAGTTGCTGTCTTGGTTTTTGAATGGAGCAGTGTTGGCTGGTAGTGAAATTTGTGACAGTGTTGAGGATGTCGCACTATCTAGGACGCAGATGAGGAGGATGGCCGATATCGATAGAGCCAGCGATTTCAGTGCCAATGCCCTCCACTGTCGTGATCTAGAGCCGACGTCTGCCATCGTGAGGCGAGCAACTAGATGTGACTCAATCACAGACGGATATTTCCTTGAAGCTGACTGCTCACTCCGCAGCAGCCCGTGTGCTTTGTGAAAACTTCTAAAGTTGTGTGAGATGAGTGTGGATATAGGAGTGACATGTCGGGATCCACTTGTCTAATAAATCCTGCAAGAAGAGTCCCTTCGTTCAGAAATTATATCAAGTATTGTTTGCTGAGATGACCGAATTGAGCTCTCGTTACGAACACAATCGGCTGGGATTGTCAATTATCCTAATCCTTTCAAAAACTCCATGAGTATTGAATCTCACCTTTTAAAATCTCTCCTCTTCCTCTGCTAGAACGCTCTTCGTTAATTACCATTCATTGGATCTTCAATTTGGCGAGTACCCTGGCGAAGGCATATCATACACTTTCTCCTGCGCACCCCAGCTATATTCGTATCTGGATTCATTCGAAACAATATCGTTCGCTCTCGAAAGTCAAGGCCACAAACCCCGCTTTAAACCCACGGCAGCCTCTGAATAGCTGATTAAGTTGAGAGAACCTCTAAGTAAGCGCAAAGGATGCCCTGAAGATCCCTGAAGCAATCTGTAAGTCAGGCAGATACTATACTACTCATAGAATATCGTAAGAGTAGGAAAGCAACAGACAATCGACGAATCACACATTTACAAAATGTTAGTGGAGGGAGCTGACCAATCCCCCCTTAAGTTGTGAATCTGACAATTACAAAACAGTCCTTCTCAACTCAAATCCTGAATAGCCTGCACTTCATAGTTATAACATTGCGGAATTCAGTCATTTAAGAATGTTGGGTCGAGACAACATTACGGACACGCTAAAGCGACGTGTTTTGCATATGCATTCGAGCACGATGACGCTCCAAAGCTACGCCCTTTAAACAGTATCCAGTAACCAGGTCTTCTTTTCAAAATACGCTTTCACCTTTCTCCTCTTGATAAACACTTGTGTGGCTGCGACGATTCCAGCGTTGACCCTGGCATCCGACATACTGGTTGGCATGACGAGTGTCGATCGATTTGCCTTCCTTGGTTGCAGTCTTATCCTACATAATGATGACTGTTTCGATCAGGAAGCCTACACGAAGATGAATCGAATACAATAGCGCAACAATCATAAATTCAGATGAACCACTAACAACAAGAGCACCTAGTCTCACCAAACGATTCACCTCAGGATGAGTACACTCTAGAATGACATAGAATTTTAATTGGCAGTAAAGACTGGACATCACTATCTTGATGTTGAGAGTTGAAAACTAATGCGTAATGCTTCTCAATCACGATCAGCCTGTGCTAGTCCCAGTGAATCTGTCAAAGTTCTTCACACCCACAACTCTCATTACCACAACGACAGAAACCTCTCAACCAATTGCTACTGAGCAGAATGGCCCACTATCGATCCTGCGCATGAGTAAGTGAACCTTGGCGTGCAAGGGCGAGTAATGTCATGGAGTTGATTTGGAGGGCCCTGCACAAGGTCAAAAAAAGATTCCATCACTGTTTGCTTCTACTTTAGGAATATTTTATCACGCCTTCTTTTGACTACGATGATAAAGAACTAACTCAAAAAGTCTAATTCTAGTTAAAGGAGGTCAAAAGGTCTGATGACTCTAATTAACTTGAGCTCTGTGTCCACATGAAAAGCAGCTTTAAAATTTAGGAGATAGACAGTTGTAGTGCAGCCACTTGCTAAGAGAGGAAGACAGACAACAACTATTCATGCAAGAGCAAAGCACGATGATGCATAATATGGTTTCACCAGTACTGACAAGATCTTCAACGGAAGTTAAAATCGGAAGAAGCTTCTTCCGTTGGATTGTGTCGTCAGGTGAACAGAAGCTCTCAGGTATATATTTCAGGAACAATGTTGTACACAGTGATTGATCTTCACCGCAACCAGTCTGCTGTTGTTGCAATCAATGACCATACGACAGAAAGACAATTTCCGTACACAAGCAAAATAACGAGATTCGACAACGAGTAAGATTAGGCAAAAACAGAATTGACTTTCACAGAATTCATGCACTTCTAATGCACCAGTAGAGCACAAAATGCTCAAAAACTAAAAAAAAAAAAAAAAAAAAAAAACTTCAAGTTCCAGTCTGTCTTTTACTCAAGAACTGCGTTGAAGAAATGAGACTAGCTAAGCTATTTCGATCTAAAAGCAATGCGACCTGCGAATGGAAAACAGCAGGAATACAGCTGCACTCCCACACACACAGAATAGTCTGGTGGTGCATCGTAATGAAACATTTACAAAAAAAACAAGAGAACTGTCTTGTGAGCTCAGATCCATAACTTCCTGTACTGATCTAGAAAGGTAGGTAAATACATCTGTGCAACATAGAGTTGACTTCTACTTATACTAATGGACCAAGTGGGGCATGTACACATGATCTTCAACAAATTCTACTAAACTAATCACTTAGCTAGTTTACATAGACCAAGTGAATCTCTATGTTTTACAAAACCAAGAGTACGAAGGAATTTAGTGAAGAAAACTGCCACCATATCTTTCCTTGGAACAAATGTTAATTCCAAAATACCAAAAGTTTGTAATCAAATTATAATCAAATTGTACATTAGTTTCATTGCACTTGGATTACCTATGCCTATAGACACGTTAAACCTTGTGCAAAACCAACTTCCCATAAGAATTATTGGAACCACACAACATCCCTTGTTTTTTGATGTATTTTGATTTTGTGGAAGAACTAGCAACAATATATTGTTTCTTCAACAACCACACTACAATATCTCCAATAGGGAGATAGCAAGAACTTGTACTTAACTTTGTTCCTTCTTTTGCTTTCTAATTGGCATTCGTGAATACTAATAATTGCAATAATTCAAGACCTTTGAAAAACTTGATATGTAGATGTTTAATACCATTTAAGTAACAAATAATTTGCTTTGTTTTGAGCCAATGTACTTTTGTCTGAGCATTATTAAATTACATTAGTGAGTTTTTGTATAACAAATATTAAGTTGTATAGAAGTTATTAGGAAAATAAAACTCTTTATTAGCTATTTATAAAAAAATATCATCTAGTATATTTTTTTTCTTTCTCATAAAAGAGATCTTTTGGAGTTGTCTCCAACATTGCAACCTTCTTCAATGCCACCTCTATTAACATAAAGATGACAATATAATTGGTAATCTTAAATTTTTAAGAAGTTTCAATATGTATTTTGTCTACAAGATGTGAATCAACTTTTGTGCATAATCTTCCAAAACCTAAATCTATAGAAAATCCTTGGAGATGTGTATTGATTTTTAAGAACTCAATAGAATCACCATTAAAAATAATTATCTACTATTTGTAAAATTAGTATATTTTGATTAATTAAATCAAACATAGATCCATATCAAAATAGATCTATATAGAGAATACAATGTGGTACATATCAAATAATGAAATGAATTATAGATTTCATTTTTAATCAACTATAGACATTTTGAATACAATATCATATCTTTTAAACTTATAAATGTACCAATTTCTTTTCAACATCAAATAAATGATGTTTTATGAAAGCTTTTAAATAATTCTATTATCTATTATCTAGATAATATTTTAATTTATTTTAAAATATAAAAAAAAGACCATTATGTTTGTTAAGTATTACAAAAAATTTAGAGATGCACAACTATTTGTCAAGATGAAAAAGTTTGTATTTTAAACAATTCTAATTGACTTCTTAAGATATATTATTTTAAATAATGGCTTTATAATGGATTCTAAAAAAGTTTAAATTGTCATAGATTAGAAGATTTTAAAAATAATAATAGACATTTAATATTTTTTAATTATTAATTATAATAAAATATTTATTAAGATTTTTTTAATTTATAGTTCTATTTATATATTTGATTTATTAAGACAAACTTAAATAGAATAAAGAAGCTAAAGCTGTAATTAAAACTTTGAAGATAATTTTTATTTTTATACCTATTTTATATTGTATTGACTTTTTTATAGAATTTTTATAAAAATAGATATACTAAAATTTATTTTGGATGTTATATTATTATAAATAGGAATAGATGACAAACTTTATTTAATAGCTTTTTATTTGAAATTTGTTTGAGCAACTAAGATTAACTACAAGATCTACTATAAAGAGCTTCTTGTAATTGTGAATTTATTTTTAAAATATTACCATTATCTAGAAGGTACTTCAAGTCCAATCACCATATATATAGATCATGAGAATCTTAAGTATTTTATGTTTGCACTTATTCTAAATTATTATCAATCTTAATGAAGTATGTCTTTATCAAGATTTAAATTCTAGATCACCTATTGACTATTGTGAGGATAAATTTCATCCTTCAATCCAAATTACAAGATAGCTTCAATTATAAGTTTTTTGTAATTGGTGGTTAAAGTAAAAGAAACAAATAATAAGAACAAAAAAATGATAAATTCAAATCAAATGAAATGAATAAAACCAAGGAATTATACAATCCAAAATTTGATCATAATCTGTTCAATGAATTTTCATCTAATAAAAATATAAATATAAAATATAAAATATATATTTTAAAAATTCTATTTTTTATTTTTTTTTAAGGATATAAGAAATATATAAATTTGAGTTATTATGAGTAAGTTATAACTGTTTAAATCTAAAAAATAAACAAATAAAAAGTTAAATAGAAATATTTTATCTCAAGGATAATTTACTTATAGATCATAGATTTGAGCCTCACCAAGGTTCACACATATTATATATGAGTATCTAAGAAAGGCCCCAAGGCCTTAATTTTATCTTTCTAATAATATTCAAGGTGCTACAATCCATATGGAAATTATGTACTTCCCTTCTAATAAAGACTAAGGTAGTTACTGGTATTATTATTTTCTACTCGTAAAACTAATGTTTTTTCACTTTTGACTTCACCATGGTCTTCAAAAAAATCCAAATAGTTTTAAAATCTTAAATGATCTTCAAATCTACTCCATTTCTTTATAACCATTTCTATAGTGGTAAAAAATTATTTTTTTCTAAAAATTCCAAAATAATTCAATATAAATTTTAAGTAAATCATAAGATTTTCTATAATTTTTCATAATTATAATATCAAACCAAAGCTAAATTTTTCTATCTTGGTGATATTTTATAATAATAAAATTAATTTAAATCAACTAAAAATCCTATTTCTAATAGAAATAATTAAAAAGACATGAGGTTCTTTTTCATGCTTCATAAACTACTACTAATATTTTTAGATTTTTTAATAAGTAATACATATAGGTGAAAGGCTAATATAGACATTATTCTTAATAATTAATTAATAATATTTAATAATAAGTAAAAATACTAAAGCAGCTAAGACAATTGCTTCTAGGACTTACTAAGACTTCATTTTTATAAATTTTCTTTTAATAAAATTCTTGTATCCTATAAATATTTTTAAATTCTAATAAATATTTAAATCATCAAAAAAAATTTAATACTAATATTTTATACATAAATAATTAAAACTTATATTTTTAATTATTCCACCAATTAAGATTTATTGATAGAATTTACATATGGCAATAATTTGGGACTATTTATGAGAATGAAAAAAATCCAATTCTTATCTTTAACATGGTTTATAAAAAAAATAAAAATAAAAATAATTATTAAAATAGATACTACTATTTATTGAAGAAAAATAATTAGACTTTCACTTTGGAACAAAAATTTTAAAAAAATTGTATATATTGGAATTAACATGTCTCTACATGTAGCAACTTCATACTTTGTTACTAACTCAATATGCATAGCACTTGTAATTCTATTGATATTCAAATTGAATACTATATGGTTGTAAATCTATATCAATTTATTGTAATTCTACTAGCCTCATAGATGACAACTATGACTCAAATAAAAAATACTTAACTATGTTTCTTGCCTTTGTTTTAAGCCAAGCATCAAAATATACTAAGAATCTAAGTAATCTATAGATTTGACCTAGAACTACCATAAAAATAAAAATAAAAATTGATGTTGGAAGCAATGTTTATATCTTTCTAAATGCTCTAATTTTTCTTTTAAAGATTAAAAACATCCAATCTTTTGTCAATGGTAATGAGTAGGGATGGAACTTCAAATTCTATGGAAAAAATGGCTTCTATTCCATACATCAAAGAAAAAGGTGTATTTCTTGTATTAACTTTGTAAGTAACTTAATAAGCCTAAAGAATTAAATAATATTAACTTTTAAGTAATTGATAAAAGCAAAGGAAAAGTATTCATATTCTTAATTGGAGTAGAGAGCTTAAAGTTCACATTCTATTTAATTTTTAATCCAAAGATTAAATAAAAATAGAAATATTTACTTTTTTTGTAAAGTAGATGAACTACTATATACGAAGAAAAATTTTCAGTAAAGATAATATAGTATTCAAATTTCAAAAAGGTTG